CCAGCCAGTGCACACGCCCCAAAGCCCTCACACCTCTGACTCCCCCACACTTGCTGCCTTCATTTGCATCGTGTGTTCAGTCAGCAGCAAAAAAGCTTGTGGGAGAGGCTAACGAACGCATTAAGTGCATAAATGCAATTAATGTGTCACACAAGCTACTGCCACTGTCTAGACATGCCCTGCACTGCTGCCTTACGTGCACCATTGAAGTGTAGTGCGCACTGGACCTAAGTTTGTGTGTGGTTTGTAGCATTTTGCGCTCTTCGATGTCCCTTTTTCTTGTACGATTATCAAGCAAGGTACAACAGATTGTTGCAGAGATGATTGTAGCACGGACGGTGGGAGTTCTGGGGTACTGCTCGGCTCGTTTGTAGCTGGCTTGACCTTGGCGTATATGCAGTATGTTGTTCTATCTGAAGTTCGCACTTATCTGTTCGTTCTTGCAGTCTGGCTACTGCTGAGCCAGTACTGTTGTTTACAGTGGAAGTACACGCGTAGGGACGGGGGATTTGTACGTGGGCCGACTGTGGGCAGAGTTGCAGCAAGAGTTGCAGCAAGGTTTGTTGCAGCTATTAACAGCATCTACAACGAAAGTCCTTCACATTAATCGTCAGCTGCAGTATGGCCACTTTCTGTAGAACTTGAAGAGTTCTTAGGGAACGCAGGGTACCTCCAGTACGATGTGTAATCTGTAATTCCTTGCAACGTCGTCGGCGAAGCAGGCAGAGCAGCAAAAGGTGTGGTAGTGATATGTAGTCTGTCATGATTTGCAACCAAGCGTTGCAACGCCTGGTGGAGAGCAAAGTCACGTGAGCGTATGGCCAATTCCCCACTGATGCATGCATTAACACTACAGGCAACGGCTGAACACCCACGTGGCCCTCAGTGGCCAGCATGCCACGTAAAACCTCAAAATACACGTACAAAGCTTACACAGCCCATGGTGCATTTACGCCACTACCTCCGACAACCAGCACCAGCCCCCACGTGCCTGGTCGCCCACCAAGAAACGAGCGGACCAACGTAAGAGTTCCTGCCGCGTTATAGCGCTTGCTGCTATGGAAACGCAGCAATTTCGCCGTCTTCGCTCAGTTGGCGGTATCTCCATGGATGTCGAATTAAGGTTCCTTGGCGAATTGTTTGTAGAAAATGGTGTAATTCTCATTTGTACCCTCGATTTCGGCGAGCATTGCGAAGGCCTTAATGATAAGGTATAGCCGATCGGCAATAATGTCTTGGCATTCATCCATGATAAGCAGCCGACGGTTGTTCAGCTTAGTGCTTTTTGTTTCATCTCATTCGCGCGAAAGTCGGAGGTAGAGGAGGAATAACAACTTATTTGGATAGATACCAAGCAAGGAGCCTACAGCAGTCTCGGAAGATGACCGAAATAGTCTCCAGAGCATGCGACCCTTGTTTCCGAGAGCCTCCTCTTCTTAGCCGCCGCTGATAGTCACACAACGGTCGGTGTAAGAGAATGATGACGGCTCTAAAAAACATTAATTAATCGCCTGGTTCTGGATGCTGCTTCACGGAACGAGAGCAGAAGCACCCGATGCATAAGAGGGAACCGTACGCCATCTGGAGGGCACTAGAAACGTGTCCACACTTGTGAATATTGCACACATTTCACTGTCCAAACCAACCAGCAATTCGTGACGCATCTGATGAAGAATTTACAACTCTCCGTGGCTGAAAGAGTTCTTAGGCTCTACGGGCTCACACAGAATGACTTCACTGTCAAATGTGTCATGGCCAACGTGGTCGATGAAGCACTCTCTCGACAATCTACAGGTCGAGTGCAGTGATCCGCAACGGTGCATATCTGCGATCATTCCCGTGGCTAATGCGTTCTCCTGACTCCGTGGACAGTTTAGCCACTGTACTTCTTGCCAAGATTTGAAATGAAAGATGGGTCAGACGCTGCTGCATTGACGATGATTTCTCGTGGCACCACACGAGGCGTAGACTCCGCCGATTATACGTTCAAGCATCGATTTGCGCAAAACATTCCGCGCAAAATGCATAGTCATGCTTGAGCGCACCAAGGTGGGGGTCACCGCAACGGCAGAGACGGTGACACGCTCTATTCCGTGGTCTAAGATGGGCCTCATAGCAGCCTAGTATCTTCTCACTTCTCGAGGATTCCAGCAGTAATAACGTCGGAGCCCGGACTATTGTTGAGCCCTTCGACTACTGGAAGGATTTGCCGTCAAATTTCAGAAAATTTTTTCGTGGCTTTACCAGTAGTCAGAGCTTGTGGCATTATCTGCTCAGCAGATTTGCCCAATTCATCCCTTATTTAGTACCTACTTCAGGAAGCTCCCTCGTTTCCCAGAAAGCAGCATAAATGACAGGGACCCAAAATGAGCTAATTCCTTCGGCGACGAATTCGTGACGGGGCGCACTATCGACCAGTGCATGTCCCCCGCGGACCACCTTTGCAGGGAAGTAGCTGGAGGAAGAGGAGATCGTGGGCACGCGTGTAAAAAAGCTAGCACCGGCGAAGCGAGCGGGTTTCCAAGGGTCGCCTGCGCGAATGGATTCCTCAGGAGCATCCACGCGCGATGCTTTACTCGGCTGAGGCAACTGCTAGCATGGGATCGCCAAGCTTAATGCGAAGTTGGGCTTCGTGTAGCCTTTTTATGACACTCTTCTCAAGCAGATAGAGCGACCCATATCGCTACACCTGTGTGCTCGCGTACTGGCTGCTCTCCCGGTGTGATCTACACCCTTCCCCTCTACCAAGAGCTAGCTCGGCGCAACACCCGACATTTTCATTTTCTTCACTACTGGGGGATGGGCCTCCTTTTGCGGCCGGCCGGTTCCCCCGCCTCACGCGAGCGTTGATGATCCGCGTGGGAGGCGGCTCAGAACACATTTTTGTTCTGATTGGGATGCCCCATCAAGACGGACTTTTCACCCCTGGTGCATGGAACCGCGCCCCTGCACCGCAGCCAGCCCATGGTACAGAATTGCCACAGCGAGAAGCAGTTGGCAGCAGCAACAGCAAATCTGAGCAGCTTTTTGTCATATGCCGCCTTCCTGATGCACTTTCCGTATCATTTTGCCCTTCTTTCTCCTCCTCTGGGACTCTGGTGTCTCTCACGACCTCTTCTACTCCCCTCCGTGCGCCAAAGCGTTGTGCACGAAGGCGTATTCTGTTTGGGGAGGTAGCATGGGGGGCAGTAGTACATACTCTGCCAATAGTGGGTATCTGAAACACTTGTCAGCTCGTACACAGTTCCTGCGAACTACATTCCGCGCAATTCATCATTCGTTGACGGACAACGCAGCTGGTTCCACAGATCTAATTAAACGAACAAAGTGATACCTTATGATCTAAACCGTAAGATTCAAGAAGGTAAGCTTGACTAGGTGTCTAACCAAGTGTCCAAGGTCTCCGAGGAAGAAACAGCAACTAATGCAGTCGTCGCTCCCCCGCCAAATCAGACTAGCCATTTTGTAACCATTTGAGCTTTATTATATATGAGTTCGGGAACAAACAGGAACACCGTATCTCGCAACACCCGAAAGGCCGCAGTCTGAGGAAGCTGAGGAGCCAAGCGTAGGCATTCAGCTTGGAAAACCTTAAAAGCTCATGAGTTCACAGCTGCACTTAGAAACGCACAGAAATATTAAAAAAGACGGAGCTGCAACCCTCGAGCTTTACAGCAGTGTTTCAACCTCCGCACAGCACGGCTGCGGCCGCTTGAGATGAACAGGACCACGCAGCGTTAAAGGGCTAATGAAAGCCTGTTTTGTGCCACACAGGGGGCAAAAGGTGAAAAACTTCCTGAAATGCTCATGAGACTCCGTTTTCTTCTAAAACATACCAGCAATTTTTGCCTCCGTAGCAGCATGTTGTGGACTGCTGTGCATGGGCTAGCGGCCGTGAGGCGACCAGTCCTCGCTGGCGGCTACCGGAACTCCCGGCCGTCCGTGAAGTGAAATGAAGCCTTATTGATTTTGCCGTTTCTAAATCTAGATATTTACGCAGCGGAGTAGCGGACAATTTCGATATTTTTTCCCTCCGGTGCTCGAGGGCGCCGCACGTTGGAAGGCGCGGCCGACAGCCACCGCCGACGACTTTTGCTGGGTTATCGAGGGCAACGATAACTCCAAACTCCTCTGGAGCATCATCTCGGTTGACCTTCGTTCCACATCTGCAATAAAAAGGAATTGCAGGTAATATTGGGGAAGGCTTGGGGCACATTTCAGGGGATCAAGACGGGGGGCCCTCGAGTTGAATGCCAAGTGCAAGAACAGACCAAGCTTGTTGCGTCAAAACAGCCTAGTTACATACCATATCTAATCCATAGTCTTGCATCAGTCTGATTAGTTGCCTAGCCAACCGACGTGGAGGATAAAAAGAGTTGCACTGGTAGTCCGGCTCCTCTGGTTCATCTCTGGAACAGTCGCACATGCGCTCCACCCTACACCCGTTTCTCGTTGCGACTAGGGGCAGTTAGAGCTCTTGAAACCTTGAGCTAGCCCCACAGTTCCCCTGGGTCGCCTGGTAAAGGCATTCGAATTGAAGGGCTGGTGGATGGCGCCGGCGGCGAGACTTGAGTTTAGTTAGAGCTGTCCGTCTACTTGCGTGTACGTGCAGCCGCAAAATGCAAGCGACGGGATCGCCAAACGAATACTCCTCTACACCCTTTGGAATGGCTCCGCAGGGCTACCCGATGGCTGCATCTTACCACCCGCAGGATGGCCCCTCTCAGCTCCCAGGTATGTTGCCAGTAGTTGCATGCCGTGTATCTGTCAATGCTCCCATTACTTGCCTGGACCGACTCATCAACGCTCCCTCAGGTTCTTTGAACAGGTGCAGAGTATTATATGCGGCGGTCAATGCGTCTGAGTTGAAGTGTGTGGTCGCTTTTTTGTCCAGGCTCTGTCATGCAAGAGACGAGATGCGGGGGAGCTGATCCTGCGTCGACGGTAGCAATGGGGAGCGCCGAAACAGAGCCGAAGCGTCGGGTGACGGACCAAAACTGGCTTGCTTTCTTCTCTGCGTTCATGCTCTTCTGCTTGTTTTTTGTGGTGCTGGCCTTCACTGAGGGAAGCCCGTCGCGGCTCTACAAAGGAATGAACTACCAAGGGAAGACGTGCGGAGTAGATCCTGAGGTTCGGGACCTGCCGTATTTGTACTTTCCCCTCGATCCTCGAGAGTCCTTCGCCTCCATCATGATAAACGACGGGCGGTGTGTGGCCAAGTGCCCCACTGAGGAGGACGTGGAGAATGGGCTGACAATCCCAACACCCATAAGGGAAACCAGCATCGATGCGGCCAGAACTTCCGCAATTACAGCAGAGTATCTGCTGCTTTCGCCTGCCTACGCAGCTACCCTCATGGCAGACGCATACTGCATTCCTCTCGATCCTTCGCTTCGCTCGCAGCTCGTTCCAGCTTTGAACAACACCTCCCGTCAGCTCCAGTTTGCCGTTGGCTCCTTTGTCAACTCCTGGGGCTGTGTCTTTGGATACTTGTTCCTCGCTGTTTTCGTTTCCCTCGCCTTCTCTGCCTCCATCAGACTCGCTCCAGGACTCCTGTTCGGCGTTGCAGCTGCTGGGAGCATTGGCTTGGCTTTCTTGGCAGGGGGATCCCTCATAAAGAATGGTTTCTCTGGTGTACTCGACCAAGACAAAGGCAACTTCTACTCTCTTGATTACGCACTAGCCATGTTTGTAAGCAACCTTGTCCATCTATAGCTTCGGCCGCACGAGCCATCACCGCTGTTCTGTCATCCATGCTTTCCCTCTCGAGACGTATGTAGAAGCATATCTACTTCGGCTGTTCTTTCTGCGTTGTTGCCTCGTTCGTCTATTAGTCATTTCATTTTTTCCCCTCTTCCACTTGACTTGTGATTTCAGGTGGGGTTTGCGCTGCTAGCCGTTGGCTGTTTTCTTCTGGCGGCTCTCGTCGTGGCTCGTCGTGCTGTTGTAACTGCCCTGCGCGTGATGGAGTGTACATCGCAGGCTCTTGGAGACATGCAGCAAGTGTTCCTCACTCCCCTCTTCTTTTCCGCCGGTAAGCCCTTTGTCGAGAGGTCGGCTTTTTCTCCAAGAGAAAATATCATGCAGCATTCTACAGGATGTATTGGGTAGCGCATGGAACGAATGAGCCCATAGAGTCCCTGCTGTTAATTTTGCCTCAGTTTCATCCTTTTCATGTCAATCCAACCACCATACTTGTCGAGAGTGTGTTGTGTGCATTGCAGCCACCATTGTCTGGGTAGGGCTGTGGCTTTGGTCTTACGTCTTCATGGTGTCAGCTGGACAGGTCGGAGCGACAGAGGTGAGGAGCGAAGAAGCTTGCCTTCTTGCCTTGTTTGCTGCCGTCAGTGTTGGCATGCCCATTATGCATCAAGGCAGCCTCACATAGAACCCAGAAAAGTTCCGTTCTCTCCAGGTAGGTGCTTAGCTTATTCCTTTTCTCACAGTCCCGCCTGTGGTGTCCTTCGCAGATTCCAATGGGTTTGGAGCA